CGGGAAATCTCAAGGAGAAATACCCACCTAAAGGTACTGGGATCGATTTTGACCACCTTGACATCCGGATCGGGACTCACAACAAACTCCTTGAAGCGGGAATTGTAGCTCCAGAGATCGCCCAAGGAACGGGCAACTGCCAGAAAGGGTATATCATCCACCAAAGTTCTTCGACGAATGGGACCACGATGCATTGGATCCCTGGGTCGATTCCACACCACGCGCGGAACTCCCGATTTGATTGCCACATTGCCACCGGCTCGCTGGATTCGCGTCTTCTCGGCCAGCGATTCCGGTTTGTGGTCCGTGGTCAGCGGACGAGCCCGCCAGTTTCGTTCTCCCTTGTTCTGGTAGCCCAAAACGATCCCCGAGTCGCCCACATGACCGATGTAGATCTTCTCGCGACGCATAAAGGCCACTGTGGCGGTGGTGCCCGCGGTGCTCAGGTGACCATTGGCGGTGCGGGGCCATTTCTCTGCGGAAATGGAATAGAGAAACACGACTTGGTTAGAAAGTTGTCAATAATCCACACTTGTTTTTTAGATTATAAGGCTTCATGATAAAAAGAGAGATAAATGTCAAAGTACACTAATTTGTCTTCCTTAACACGATATATTCTACATTTTATAACATTTTTTTTGACATTTTAAGTTCTTTAGATAATGGATTAAATTAGTAAGTATCTTAAATTTTGGTAATCATAATGTTACATATTTTTTCTTGACTATTTTTAAATACGTTGGGATAAAAATAAGTACTTTATAAATATTAAAATTAGTTTCTCTTCTGCTAGAAAAACTTTACAACTGTGAAATTCTAGACAAAAAACGTTTACTACATTTTGAAATAAGTCTAAATCTTATAAGATACTTAAAAATATATGTAAATTTCATATTATTTTCAACGAAAATTTCAAAGATCCGATATAATCCCTTAAGTTTTTTTTCAAAAACAATACAGCATATAGTTTATTTTGGGGTTTTCCCGAATTACCTAGATGAAATTACAAAATTTAAAGAAAAGTATCTGTGTCACCATGACAATTCTTGCTAAAATATTAAATCTGGTGACGAACAACAGCAACTTTACATCATGAAAACGGTCAAAAAAGTTACTTTTCAAGGCCCTTGGAATTTTGGCGGTAAAGTGGATATCTGGAATACCAAAACATCGTCAAATATTGATATTTTCCCACACCAGAGGCACAAACACACAGATACACACATGTATCTACATTTCTGGCATCCCTTGGATTTCTGTGTATTTTGTTTTTGTAAAGAGGAATTGGGCACACATTTATTTTCTCTTTCCTCCCCCTCTCCACCTCACTAACTCCATCTCCCTCTTTCTCGCATTTCGAAACGCCTTCATGAATTCGCGCCACCATGTAGTGGTGCTGCTCTAACTCACAGCGGGGTTGCCATGCTTGGCGAGAGTACAGCCATATGGCAAGCCCGTGGAATATTCCACTCGCGATAACTGTGCCTGTGTCGGTGTGTGTGTATCTGTATCTTTTTTGGTGTGGGCCGAGCATAGAGATGAGCAATTGAACGATGGTTGAGTCACCGCCACACACACGGTTGCATAATTACCTAGAGATGGGAGACCCAGGGGAGCAGCTCGGGATTTGGGGTCACTTGCTTTCGGGGGGACGAAATGGCAACCCTGATAGCGGGGGATTACCCGGTTTGAAAATCACCAACTGGCAGTTATTAAATCTTTATCGTGAGTTTAGCGGGCGCTCATCTCTAACGGTCGCCGCCTGGCATGGGCAACAATTTGAAACCCAATTTTCATGAGAAAAGGTAGAAATACTAATAACAAAGCGGGGAAAAGATCGAATTACGTATGGGGAACAGGTTACATTTCTTGGAAAAGTATAAACAGTAACCATACGTTGAGAATATCATGTATCTATCAAGCGATTATCATCATACAATTATGACTTATTGTTTAGGTGTGTTTTATATGGAATCTACAAAAACTAAGCCTGTATTTCCCTTTGTTTGTTCTCACCTTGCTCCCGCCACATGGCGAAATGTGTGGCAATGTATCCCTCGCGTATGGCCGTCAGGACATCCTCATCTTTATCCGACCAGAACTGCTTCTGCTTGACAATCTCGAGCATTAGGTGTTCCTTGGCAAAGAGCGCCGCCTCGGGACCGCCGTGTCCGTCGTATATGCCAAAAAATGCATATTCCAGTTCGTGGGTGATGGGTGATTCTTGGTAGGCCACCGAGAATTGGTCTTCCATGTACTTCCGGCCGCCCTGGCTGCATTGTCCCGTTACGCGCATATTGACGCCCAGGGAGGAGCAGGGCGAGGGATTGGAGTTGGAATTGGAACCATTGGAAGTACCGGAACTGGCATTGGAATTCGAATTGCTGCTGGAACTGCTCTCTGGAAGTGATCGCGCTGGAACGATGGCAGCTGACCGGCGTAAACGACTTTGTGCCGCTCCACCGCCGCCCCGAAAGCGATTTGTTGTTAGATTCGGCTGGTATTGTTTCTTTGGGTTTAAAGGCTTGGCTGGCGGTCCCCCTTGCACTTCCACATCCACATCCATTTCCATGTCCATATCCTCTGTCATATCTTCCAGGCCGGGAATGCTGCTACTCTCTTCTGCCACCACCACTTCCACCTCCACTGCCTCTTCCAGTTCCTGTTCTCTTCCCGCTGCCGGTGCAACAACAACAACAACACTACTGCTGGCATCCAGTGCTGGATGGCACTCACTGTTATTATTGTTATTGTTGCTGCAGCCGTGGCGAGAAGAGGACAACTGCTGTTGCTGTTGCTGCTGTCGCGGATTAACGGTGGCCGTTGCCGTTGTTGTCGTACTGCTATTATCCGCATAAAAGTTAATAATATCGTATTCCAGGCATGGTCCATCGGTATCGGCGGCATCGGTGTCCGTATCCTGGAAAGTACCGCTAGCTGTTGCCGTTTCCTTTAAACGAACTACCGTTCTTTCAATGGCCGACTTGATGAGGCATCTGTTGGTATTGGTAGTGGTTGTAGTTGTGTGGGTATTACTTTTATTATTGGCGGGCAACATCTTTTTGGCTTTGTGGCTTATTTGTTGCTCTTTCTATTCCCGTCGTGTTTTTGTTTATGTTGCCGTTGCGCTGGTGGTGCTTCTTCTTCGTCTTCTTCTGCGTCTTCCTCTTCCTCCTCCTAGACGTCGTCGCCGCGCAGCAGTGTTGTAATTTCCGATGACATTTGGCACTCACACACACGTACAAAACAACAAAAAAGAACAATAAAAAAATATATAAAGTACAAGAGGAAAGAGCAATTGAGCTCTATCTCCCTCTGGCAGACCTTGCGTTCGCCGGCAGAGCGAGCGAGACGACTATTCAGGCTGCTTGCGTCTGTTTGTGTTGTGTATTTACGTTCGCCACTGTGCTCGTGTGTGTGCAGCACCCATCTAGCGTATTTAGTATTTTGTATTTGCAAATTGGCCGCCAAAAACTGATGAATTTTCCTTTATTTTAAGCACCCAAAAGAATGGGGAGCTTGGGCTTTAAAGTTCCTGCACGATTTGGCGTGGAAAGCGCCCTTTTCCCGACGACGACGAAGAAGACTCAATGCCAGGGCGCGCAGTTTCACCTTGATGATTTGTTGTTTGCCAGCATTTTCTGCCGTTGTTTTTCTCTCGTTTTCGCAGCACTTTTGTGTTTTTTCGTTTTTCCCTTTTTTGGTTGCTAGCACGTACACAACCACACACACAACAACAAAATTCACGGTAAATTGTTTAACAAAAATTGTGTTGGAAAAAAAACGAGACAAGACGAAAATCAAATAGAAAGCGTGTGACCGTTGAAAGTAGGGCGAAAATACCACGCTCGATAGCTGTTGGAAAATACTGGAAGCACGCCAATCGATGACAGGCTCATCGATTAATATTTAAAAGTTTGTATCGGCGTAGTATGTTTTCAAGCAACACTGAAATTTTTTAATATTAAAATCATTTTTAACGCAATGTTTTTGGTTTATACTTTAAGCACCAACAAATTTTTAAAAACAAGCTAAACATACAACAAATATAGAAAATAAAAGTTTTTAACTTAAAAGTATTTGTCTTGGAAATTGTTTCCAAATTTTGAAATAAATTACATTTATTGTAATCTACAGATCTACAGGTTTATAACATATTTTCATGATTAAACATTTTAATAATAGTTTAGCCAAGATTGTAAATAAATTTACTAGCAATTTTTAATATTTCTATGAGTACCATTTTAAATAGTTATTTCCCTTATCGCAAGCAACTCTGTCGATCTTTTTAAAACTATACACCTGCATGACAACCATTTAATCGAATATATTTAAATGGGTTAATAAAGTACTTCATATCAGGGGTAGTTGGATTGTGTTTTACTTATTGCATATTAAACGATAATTAAAATAATAAATGGCTCTTTTTTGATCATTTTTTTTTTCTACCAAGTAGAAAATCCTAACATTCCCCAATTTCTCTTGAATCATCCATGACCATTTCTTGACTACAATCTATTTCTAGCAATGATTGATTCAGTACAAGACTGTTGTTACACTTATTTTTTTTAACTTACCATTTATTTTTGGCGAGTATCAAAAATCGATAGCGTGCCACTGATCAGCTGTTTTTATCGGTTGGCAACTCTGACACCAGTGATGCTGAGCTTTGAATAGTAGCCTATCGAATATAGAATATTGCCTATCGAGTGGGGGATTTTGAGGGAATTATTAAATTTTTAATCGTTTAATGTGGTTCTTAAGAATATTCTTCCGGTAATGAACTTACTGCATTCCGATTAATAGTCTAGCACACCTATTGACAGACCATAACCCTTGCCGATACACCGATAACGGCCATCACTGATGCCAGACGCCGCCCGCCAGACGCGGCCTGCCAGACGCCGCCCGTCGCCAGCCAATCAGGGCGCCGAACGACTCGTATGTCGGCGCCCGTCGCCCGACGTCCGATAAACCGAAATCGGAACCGAAATCGAAGCCGTCGCCGAGTTTACTTAGTTTATCACTCACCAGCAAGCCAACCAGTAAGCGAACCACTCAGTCGTTCCAGTGCCGAGCTGCTTCCATTCACCGTTTCCAGTATAAAGCCCAGGCGACTACGCTTAGCGGTAAAAACACCCACACACCCACGCAAAAGTACAAGAAGGGCATTTTTTTTGTACCGTTTGTCCGGTTTTTCAACAATTCTAAAACGCTTAAGAATCACTTTGTATCGCTCTCTTTTTTTTCACGTTCTCAAAAAAGAAGAAGAAAATAGTGCAAAAAGCCGCGGCGTGCTAAATTTGTATTGCGTGCAAAATTGCTAACAAAAAAAAAAGAAGGAAAACAAGAAGGAAACCCACACATACGCACTCGGTTCTTTTTTTCCTGTCACTGCTATTTTTTAAGTTTGAGATTTATGCAGAATTGGAATTATTTCGGTGACAGCTGTTGAACTCCAAGTGAAAAAAAATCGCGCGCAATCAGCAAATATCAAAAGGTAAGTCATAGAAAATAGCTAACAAAAAAATGCCGTGTGAATGTTCTTGAATGCAAAAATGCAACGTTGTGCAATTTTAATAATGTGAAAAATTCCCATGGTGCAAAAGTATGTGGGAGAATATACAGGGCATATGTCGTGTGTTTTTTTTTCCATTTTTGGAGCTAGTGCTACGGTGAAATCAAGTTTTCGGGTTGACGTCATTTTAATTATGCATGGAAACGCAGGTAATGGGCGAGAATTTTGGTCAGCGGTTTCGGTCGTTTCCGCTTCATTTTTCGCGAACTTTCCAGCTAATGATTGATCAGCTGCCAAAAGTTTCAGGTTTCCCTAATTAGAGGAGAGTCCTGCATAGAAAATTCGCGGGTTTCCGATTGCAAACGGGAAATTCAATTATCCTGCGTGCATGTGAATGTCCATGTCCGTGTGTGCATGTGTGTGTGTATGGGATGGCCAGCAAAAAGCGTTGCATACTTGCAGGTGCAGGTCCCGGTCCACTCTCCTCTCTCTCTTTCTCCCTCCTTTCTCTTCGCTGTCAGCCTGTCATTTATAATTTCATTTCATGTCGGGCATGTGTGTGTGTGTGAGTGTGCGGAACACTGCACAAAATAAAAAAAATAAAACAAGCACAGTTTCGCGCTTCTTCTCTTGCTCATAAATATACAAGTTGCGCTCTCTTCCGCTTCCTGTTTCCCCCACTCCTCCTCCCCCTTGCCCTGGCCCTATCCCATCTGTCTCTCTCGCTCTGTTTAACTGTCAATGCAGTTTTCTAATTGACTTCATCAGAAGAGCAAGAAGAAGCAGGAGAGGAGCAGGAGCAGGCTGTAGCATCCATGCACAAACACACACATGCCGTCCCTCTCACTCCGTTGCCTCTGGCCACCTGTCAACTCTCCGTTGTCTCCCTCTCCCTCGCCCTCGCCCACTTCCTGGGCCCACTACCGTTATGATTTGTCTGCCCTGCACTTTACTGTCAAACGTCAAAAACACGAACAAACCTGCTAAATCGAAACAAATTTCAGTCGCCGACAAAGTGCTTCAGGGGAAACATCGTTTCAAGTCTGAAAATAAACTCACAAAATCAAACAAATCGAGCAAATCGGAAATTGATCTCGTCCATCTGTTCCTGAAGGAAGGATGCGCTGAAATCGTGTCAGTACTGCAAGTTATCACAAGGGTAATAAATCTCCGACTCTTACATTTAAAGAATATCAAATGGAGTAAGTTAGTTTATTGAAGTTTAAGTTTATCTTACCAAGTTTATGTTATCTAAACGGAAGGAGGGTTTTAGAAGTAGTAGAAGATCCTACAATTGTATTGTGATAAGGATTCGGAAAATTAGACTTATCCTTTCTAACGAAGTTCGGTTGGAAAATTCAATTGAACTAGATTGGAAAAAAAGTAATAGGACATTCAATTTGCACTTAGAAGGCAGCTTAAGCCTAGATAAATAGTAGTGGTACACCATCGAATAATGATAGAAAATAAAAAGTTAAAAGTGTGTTACAATTAAGAAATATGCTAGAATATAAAAAAAGCATTGTAAAACAATTCAGATTTTAATGGTAATTTAAAATTAGAATTGTCTGAAAATTATCTTATCAATTTATAAAATGTTTTTATTAGTAACAGACAATAAAAAATTTATAAAAAATCAAGATACAAATTATAAAAATAAAATATAAAACAATTGTAATAAATAGTAATTATCTTGTTGCTTTGTGATAATAATAAAAGTAATTTCTAGAGCCAATAGTTAAAAGTGTTTAGCTACTGCTGTTTCCATTATAGGAAGAACTGACTGTACCTGCCAGCTTGTTTACCAAAAGGACTGAATTTTGTTGTTATTAGCTTACATACGTCGGACTTTGGTGGCCGCTTTAAGTTTGGTGTTTTGGCGTTGTCAGTAAATGAGGGGGGCTATCGGATATTGGATAGTGGATAGTGCGAGTGTGTCGGTACAAAGAGACTGGTCGCTATGATACTAAATTTGGTTGCGGTTGCTTTGCGATGCCACCTTGCCACCCACTTTTACCACCCGAATTTTCCACTCGCTGATTTTGAGGTTGCAATTGCAAAATACCAAGCGCACTTGGTGTGCTCTACACTGATATTTCGTGCTGTTTGCTTTGCTTTTCCTATGCTTTTCCTATGCTTTCCGAAACTAATAAGCAATGCCACGGCTCGCAAAAGTATGCTACGAAAAAAGAGCAGCAATTGCAGTGGCATCTCTCTGCATATGTGTGCATGCGTGTGAGCCTTGAATTTGAATTAGTTGTTGTTGTTGTTCTTCTTGTTCTTTCGCAGCAGCACAGCAGCCTCTCTGTCATGGCCACCTTTGCGTATGTGTGTGTGTGAGAGAGAGAACTTCCGCTCAAGGCCATGTTGCATTGCACTGCTTGCTGCTTGTGCTGCCATCTCGCTCGCTCTACCCAATTTAAATGCATGGTGCATCTGCATATTGCCTGTTAATTGCCATTGGTATGTGTGCGAATGGCTCTCCGTGCGCGCCTGTGTGCGTGTTAATATGTCATACTGTGGCTCTGATATTTGATTTGTAATATTGCCGCTTGTATTGCTTGTGTTTCTATAATTAAATTGCCAGGCTTTTGGTGTGTGCAAACTGTCCCGAAAAAGTATGCAATGCGCCTGCGTTAATAAATCGTACATGGGAAGAAAAAAGGGTTTTATTGGGTTATAAGTAGCTTACAACTATGTGAAATATTGTAAGCAAAAAACTAGAAGAACTACTAAAAACATTTTAAGAAAAATAATGTTAATAATATAATGATTTAGGATGACAAATTAAGAAACTAGCATCTTTTTTTAAATATCAAAACGCGGAAATATATCCTAATAAATAGCATTTTTTGGTAGGATGAATGAAAATATGATTTCAAGACTTCTTTTATTATAAAATACTGTAGTTCTATTGGCATTTCACCCAGAAAATGATTGAAAAACTACTATTTTTTGCCTGTGCATGTGTGTATTGTGTGTGTGGGAGCTAACTTGATTAAAACACGCTCTTTAATTAAAAGAAATGCTAATAATATTTCCCGATGTGCTCGCCTCCCTTCAGTGGCGTTGCTCATCTCTCTCTTTCTCCCATCTCTCTCGTTGCAGTTACAGAAGTCAAGCAACTGAAAAAAAGCGCCATTTTTCAAACAATTGGACTCGAGTGAAGTTGTAAACACAGGAGCACAGAGCAAAAAACATCAGCCAAAATGTCTGATCGCAAAGCCGTGATTAAAAATGCCGACATGAGCGAGGAGATGCAGCAGGATGCCGTCGATTGTGCGACACAGGCCCTCGAGAAGTACAACATTGAGAAGGTGAGCTTGCAAAAATCCTCAAAAAGTTGGGATGGGGTTTTTAGTAATACGAAAGATATCAGTACAGAACCTCATATGTATACGTACTAGTATGTATCTTAAAGGAACAGAAAAAAAATCTCAACAAAATTAAAAAGAATTGGTTAACCTACAAGATTCCTAAGAAACCGAATTACGCCATAATCAACCTAATACAATTTTGAACATGTAAAGAAAATAAACGTATGTTATTGCGGTTTTCAAGTTGGTTTATAGTATATATACTTTATAAGACTAGTAATATTACAATCTTCAAAATCTTTGAGTGATAACTGTTGAATAAATCATAAAAATGTGTGCCACATTCAAGGTATACAAATAAACACATATAAAGTCCACTGATTAGGGGATGAACAAAAAAGGGGTTAGAAAAAGAGAATGGGAAGGCACAACAGGTGCTTTTTTAGTGGGTGGCATTGGGACAACCGAACTGAAATGATTGCCAGTGTTTGTGAAGATTGGCTGTAACATGATTTTTTAAACACCCAATTAATTCGACTGCTCTGTGTTGTGTTGGTCCATTAATTAATCAACAGAAAATCAACAATTCTAGTTTGCAGGGTTTCGAGTTGATTCAACAAACTTTCTATTTAAGCTGAAATGAAATGTGAGGCTTCCTTCTGCGTTCTGGAAATAATTAGATAAATACGGAATGCTCTGGCAAAGCCAACTGAAAATTAAGGGTATAATTTTAATATTTAGCAAACAGGGTTAGTAGAAATGGGAGACTGGCTGGCAGCAGCAGCAGCCGTATTATTATTATTTTGGCCTAAATCTGTAATTAAATTTGAATTACTGGTACAGGCACACAAACATTGGCTTTTCCAGGAGTTTTCCCCCGTGCGTTTGTATGAACATTGTTGCATCTCTGGCCAGTAGAAACATAAAACCCATAACAACCACCCACACTCCCTAGTTCGCTCAGTAAACTTGTGGTTTGAACTGCGTTTGGCAATTTCACAATTTTGCGGTGCAGCCTTTGGGTTATTCCGCCATTTCCACTTCCATTTCCACATCCATTTCCACCCTCCAGGATCCTACGCCCACACAACTGCGTCACAGCCTTCCCTTTGGGCTTGCTGGCCCATCGGCCCCCGGGCTGGAAAACTCCTTTCACAAACAATGTGCAATATTTGCCTGCATTTTCCGAGAATTCTTGTAATTTTATCACTCTTCCTTAACCTTTGCCCTTATCACCATTCGGCTGCATTTTATGGACAAAGGCCCCAGCAACTTTTCCATCACAGCATGTTTACAATTTGATTATTATGGGTAGCTATACCAACAATAGCTATATTTTGGGGAAATTGAATTAAATCCTTAATTTTTATAGCAGCGGTCGGCACGGAATTTTCACGGGGTTGCTGTATGCTGTACGTGTGTCGGCAAAGGCTGAGCAGAGCTAATGCCTATGGCCACTTAGTGGAACTCTGCCTATCGTTGTTTTAAAGGTAGATAAGGTTAGGAACCTTGTTGCAATGTCAACGGCAAAAGTAGCCCTGACTTAAAGAGATTTTCCCGAAGGATTTTAGGAAGAAGGTGGTGGTGCGGAAAATCGGCGGAGGACTGACCATCATTAACAATGTCCGATGTTGGGGGCGAAACACAACAACTAAAATAAGCTCTTGATTTAGTCGGCTGCGAATGCAAGGAACAACAATAACAATAACAAAGAAGGAGAAAAAAAGAACCAGAAGAAAAACAAAATCAGCCAGCAATGTCAACAAAGTCGAAGAAATTGAATAATCAATAGATGTACGGGGGGCATTGTGAATGCGATTGAAGGGAAACAGCCGGGTACACACACTCAAATAACGTACGTACACAGAAGAAAAAGATGGGTTCCAGTTAGAAGTTTAAAATGAAGACCCCTAGAAAATAAATACATAACTATTAACAACATAACTATAAGTAGAGTACTTACAAATTAATAAAGCCAAATATAATCATTCTTTATTATGTAAATATTACAATACTTGTTTCTTTCATTGTCAAAACACTAGAAAAAAGTATTCCTAACGTTATTGGAAAATGTATAGTGATTTTGGTAATAAATATTAGGAAATATGGTCTTAAGAGCAGTATAGTTCTTGAGTATGTGTTCTAGAAATGGTTTTCTGTGTAAGCGTTGGTCAAAGTGCGGACCCTGACTGAGGTCAGTAAAAATATGGTTGGCGGAGAAGGAAGGAAAAACAAGCCGGTGGAAAGGAAAGCTGCGGGGGATTGCCATCAACTAGCGGGCCTTTGTCAATGCCAATGGCAGAAGACAACATACTGAGACTGAGACTGCGACTGCGATTCTAAGACAGAGGGAAAATGAAAATGAAAAACGGTATGAGGGGAAAAAGAACGCGCCGGGGCCCTTGAAAGCAAAGCAAGGCAAAGTAAACTTGGAATCACAGCGGAAGTGGATAAAAGGCTAGGGGGAAATGGGGTATACGGAGGTGGAAAAACCCAGAGAGAGATTTTGCTAATTGAGCAGTAAAAGGAAAATGTGCGTACACAGTGGATATCGGTTGGAAAACACTAGGGAATGTCAAGGAAGTTACACAAAAAACATTTGCTTTAAGATATTCTCAACTATAATAGGTTATTACTTTCAAAAACATCTTAAATTAATTGTATATACCTTTTTTCTATTAAAATTGTAACTTTTAGGATGTATTAAATGATTTTTGCAAAGGTCATTACAATGTTGATTACCGTTTCCTTTCAAACTCATGAAGTATTAAAAATACAAATAGTTCTGCAGTTCAAATAAAACACACAATCTCTTAAGCTTTTTTGCTGTGTTTTTAAGTTATAAATGAAATGTTTTTTAAACTGTATGAGCCAGGACCTGGAGCTAAAAGTATGCCGCACAATTTGTTGAATGTTTGTCACTGTGGTGAGAGGGGTATGGAAAAAATCGGGGTGGTTAATATAGAGGGGGGAAGTGGGTGTATAATAACGCCCTCAGCCAATGCAAAAACACCTGAACCACCCATTTCGAGCCTACCTCTTGTTGCTATAAATAAAATATATGCCACACGATTGATTGCCTTTTTGTCTTTACTCTTCCTTTCACTGTCTCCCTCTCGCCCTCTCTCTCTTTCACTCTTCCTTTTCCTGTGCTTATTGCATAATAATAAGTTGGCCATTATTTCTCACTGTGTATGTGTGTGTTTTTTGTAGGTAATTAAATATGGATTTTTGTGTGTTTTGGTTTTTTCTCTTTTTGCTGCGAGGCAAAAACACAAATTTAATTGCTTAGATGAAAATTGAGAAATTTCTAATGGAAAAAATGTAAAAATAAAAATAGAATAGACTCCGAGGGGAAAAAATAACGCAGAGAGCAACCTTTAACCTTTAGAAGATGCTGCGTGCGCGGGTCAATAGAAATTGCATTAAATGGTATGGCAAGTTTTTTGTGTTGCCAATAGTTTCGAATCAATAATTGACCTGGTAAATTCATTAGACTTATCGTATTTCCTAGCTGATTATAAGCTCAAAAATTCCAATCAGAGCGACACAAAAGCCAGAAAAGAGAGGGGGGCAAAAAACAATTTTTGGTATCCATTAGATACGCAACTAATACTACTGAAAAGAGTATGGGGTCTGTGGGCTGTGGGCCACCGCCCCCTTGGGGCACCCAAGGGTTAAGCTCGACCCACTTGGTTGTGGGTTTGTTGTACCTTGTTGTATATATATTTTTAGGGGCGCGCAACCTTTCAAGCAGCTTAAATCGTATCCATAGGCATTATGTTGCCCCCAGTATTTCTATGTATTTTTGTACCCCCCTGTGTGTGTGTGTGTGTGTCTGTGTGAGCCGCGATTTAAAGGCAAAGCCCTAAATAAGCCAACAAGAGGGCCAAAAATGAAAAAATAAAATAAAATGAAATGAAAGAGGGGAAAAGCAGCAGCAACGCAGCGGAATATAAATTTCCAATTCAATTATTTTTTGGCTTTAAATTTGTTTTATTTAATAAATGCAATTAGTTTTTGGAACAGCTAAAAAAGGGATTTAATGAAAAGCAGAAGCTTTAGTGATATAATTAACTCATTTTCTAGTTAAATTCATGTAAAACTTACTATTATTAACGCCTAAACAAAGATGCAATTAATTTAGAAATGTTTAACAAAGGTTTGTGTTTAAAAATAAAATATATTATTATAACTTACAGCATAACTTAGTTAGATTTACTGAAAACGAGACTTTGGAAAGTTAAAGTAATGGAAATACGAGCGATGAAAATGACAGCTTTGATGGAAGTTGGTGAAAAAATGGTAAATTTAATAATGACACTCAACTAAAACAACTTAATAAAGTGTTTGAAACGAGTTTAATTAATTTTCCTCGGCGTTATGGACTGCATATCACTCGCTTTTTACGCAGTAGTTAATATCGCGATTCATTTGACAGTTTTGTTTGTTTTCTTGTGTCGCACAAAAGGCAGAACCCCTTTGGACAAATAATAAACGATATATAAAATAGTATTAAAACGATGAGACAAACATATTTTGCCATTCAATCGCTGTGTGAAGCGCTTGTGCATTTTTTTAGTATTATTTTTTATGGGTTTTGTTTGTGATTTTTTGCGTGGCAAAAAAAATGTTTAATCAATATAGGGGCAGCAGAGAAGAATACTCGTATTTGTATGTAAATAGATTGGGTGAGTGTGTAAAAAGCCAACACATGCACATGCATTCATTTTTATTGACACACAATCATCGAATGCGAGGGGCTTTTCCGCTTTTATCGTTCCTTCAAACGTGTCCAGGCATATTTGCTGGGGCTCAAAATCCTCAGGATATTTTCCAGGTGTGGTCTAAATGGACAGAGGGACTATCATCGAGGTGTTCCTTGCATGCATGAATTATTTATTTTTCTTTGAACGCACTTGCTGCGAGTCTTTGATTTTATCGCACTTTAAAGTGCCAAGAAAAGTTCTATGAGATTTAAGATTGTGCAAAGAGAACGGGGAGATACTGAGATACAAGAGCTGTCAAGATATAAATAGCTTTTAAATAATTATCTTTAAGATAAACGCCCACAAAGATACTACTTTTCCATCTCAGCACTGAAAACTACAAACAATTCCCCTTTATGTCTATCAAAAACAAAGAAATTCGTTTATTACTTCGCTACTGCCAAAATGTGTCAGTTACCTTCCCTAAAAGCCTCGCAAATGATATGACCAAAATTGCATTGTCGATTTCATTAGGGCTACATATGTTGTATATACATACTATTCCACCAATATTTAGTGGCACAAGAACCACCCACTCGATGGTAACACCCACACACCCACTTTTAACCCCCTGTTGCCACTTTTATGTGTGTGTCAGAATGTTCATTTTGTGTTTTTTTCGGCGTTGCCAAAACAAAATTCCATGGCATTGCTAGGGGGCGCTTGCAAAGAGGCCTCACCTCACCCCAAACCAAATTGAATATAAAACAATCAACTTTATATTGTCGTCTGACACGACACGAAAATCTACACGCAATAGGCTGGAAGCGAAAAAATTTGAAAATGGAAACAAAACATGTTTAAAAGAAGGGCCCAAAAGAAAAGCCCACGAAAAATAGAGAACAGCTGGAATGACTTAATAGCAATGATCGCTCAAGGGATTCCTTTACAGTGGAACCTTATAAAAGCAAACTGCTGATTAAAATCATGCTTAAAAATTATTGACAAAATTGTAATATCTTCAAGAGTAGTATCTATACTTTTTATAATATCCCTATATTCCTATAAAAATATACTTTCAAATCAAGAACAACTTTCCTAAATCATTATTTTAACAATTTATTCCTTAAAACTTTCCATAAATTTATTACGAAAATGTAAAGAATTAAGTTTTTATATTCAAAATGTCTTTATATACGTTATTATAATATCCCTATATCAGTGATTTATAATTGGGTATCTCTTTCAACTTAAGAAAAGCTTTCCTAAATCAATATTTTAAAAATTTGTTCTATAATTCCATAAATATATTGTCGATATATATCGATATATACCAAATATCGATTTCTGTTGGTTTAAAAACCTTATCAGTGATTTATAAGGAAAAATCTTTCCTAAATCATTATTTTAATAATTATCTTTTCTTTTCCATAAATATATTACAAAAAGATGTTATATTCCTAATGTCTTTATTTATTGTTTGGTTAATAATCCAATATAAGCGTTCAACTTAATGAGGTACGACTGTATAATACGACAATGATGACGACAGCTTTGATTGAAGGATGGCTAAAACAAGGAATTGGATAATGGCACTCAACTAAATCAGCTTTATATGTGTTTTTCCTTTGAGGGTCTCGCTTTTCTTCGCTTGTCCTGTTTGTTTTATTATTTCATCGTTATTTTCTCAGTTTTTGTTTTGAGGTTACCGGGTTAAGTTTATGACTTTGCACGCGTTCCCCTGCAATAACGGTGGCCCTACCTTCTGAACCCCCTCCAAAATCCGATCCCCGTTTTTTGACCCCACCCCTGACTAAATGAAATCAACTCCAAGTGTGGCGCCCGAAAGTATGGCAAAAGCAAAACTTTCAGATTGCCTCAACTTTCGGAACAGAACAATTTTATTTTTCCCCATTCCTTTTATAGTTTTTTTTTGCCCCCCCTTTTATTAAGCTAAACATTCCCCATCTGCTTTTTGCATTCTTTGCGTTTTTGCCACAGATGTTGGAAAACATGATAATTGGACAAGAATATAGTGGTGAAAGAATTTGTACAATTTTTCTTGATTTTTTTTATGGGTGTGATAATAAAAATGCTAGGGAAATATGTGAAATAATTACTTTGAAAACTGAAGTTCGATACAAAATATTTAGTTCGTGTAAGTTTATAGATATTTTAACTATTTCGGATGCAGAGCTCATACTCTGAGATCCTAAGACATTGCTTTAAATTTCTTTGAAGGTTGAGTTATATATTTATCTGACCTCCATTAGGTTTTCACTATTATATTTTTACTATATATAAAAAAAATGTTTTGAAATCTGAAATATTAAGCTTGTTAAGATAAACATCCAACTTATTTTAAGCTAATTTTTTGAGATCCTAACCCTGCTTTAAAATTCCTTGAAGGCTTAGCTTTTGTATTTATCTGACCTCCATTGTGTTTCCCTACATTTATCTTTATACACACATTTTTGCGGGTTGGCTGCTGCGTGTGGGTTTGCGTAACCCTGGATTTAGCCGCCAAAACGACTGACAATGACCTTTGACATTTGCCACACTAAACTGCATGGGTTTCAGCGCAGTGCTTCTAGTATTTTAAACCACCATTTTGCAACGTTTTAGCACTTGAATTTGCTTTTTTTCCCCACCCCCTTTATTTTTCGCTGTTTATTTAAACCCTTTCTTGCACACTTTCTCCTTCTCTTGCCACCTATTTATATCCATTTTGGCCACATATTCCCCGTGTGGTTTGTGCTGGCGTTTAACACACATAATTAGCCTTTGCCTCAAGAACTGGCCTTTAATTTCAACCAAATTGCTTAATGCGAATGGCAACAACAACAGAAATCATAACTAACTCATTAGCACAGAAACTTTTCACCCCCAACAGCCCCCCGTTGAATTTTCTTCACTGCTGCCTGTTTTTTGAGGTCACATTTTGGGTTGCCCCAGTGACAGACCCCCGGAAAATGGGGGAAGTTCTGGTGGAAAATGAGTTTTTCGCTTGGCATTTTATTGAGTTTGCCGTTGGCCGCTAATTCCGAAACAGTTAGCAGCCACTTAGGCATTTGTTTTCGCCTGTTTTGGCTTGCTTCTGGGGGCTGGAGCGGTTCTGTTCTCTTCTGGCCATTGCATTTCTGACAGCTTTATGGAATTTGGCGTTAACTTGCTCGACAATTGGCAGCTGCACGGCGGGGAAAAGTGTAAAATACTCTGCGAAATTGAATTACAAGCGAGTGCCAAAAAATCCATCAATATTAGATTATAAGATGGGAAAGTTGGGAAGGCACAAACATAAGTTGTAGATTGTTTAAGTTAATTAAAATATAACAGCAAACTAACTAAATCTTTCGTGTTCTCTCTCCGTTTTCAGGACATTGCGGCCTACATCAAGAAGGAGTTCGACAAAAAATACAATCCCACATGGCATTGCATTGTGGGCCGCAACTTTGGATCGTATGTCACCCACGAGACGCGCCACTTCATCTACTTCTATTTGGGCCAGGTGGCCATTTTATTGTTTAAGAGCGGTTAAAGTATTGTCGAGTCGGATGAAGTGGTGGTGAGGAGGCTGATGGAGATGCAGCAGCTGCGCCGCCAACAACAACAGGAGCAGCAGTCGCATTTCGGGGCATCAGGGGACGAGGATCAAGAGCAGAAACAGCAACAACAACCACATAACCAACAACAACTACAACCAACACAGCACCAACTACAACAACAACACCAGCAGCAGAAAGAACATCTTAAGGATGCGGAAATGATGACCGACAAGCCAGCCGAGGAGCAACAGCAGCAGCACGAACACACGGAAGACTCGGATATGGAGCTAACTGACGATCAGGATGTAGAGGAAACTGAGTCGGATGGGGAGAATAATGGCCAGGAGGCGGAGGAAGGCGATGACGACGACGAGGATGACGATGATGATGATGGCACCATCGTCGAGGACAGCGATGCCACCAGCTGCAGCAGTTGTCGCCGCGCCGAACTGGAGGAGGATCAGGAGGAGCAACAGCAACAGCAATCGCCGCCGCCTCCTCCTCTTCCAAAAGCCAACGATGATGATGATCATGATGTCACCTAGGTCCATGCCCGAGATCACACTTCCTCAATTGAAAACGATACACACGCACCATTTTAAGGCATGTCTATCCAATGCAAGGAATACCTGTTTGTTGGTGGTATTCCTTTCATTCTACGCCACGCTGGATAACTCGCAGAAAGCAAGAAACAAGAAGATCGAAAACTATGTTCAATAAGAAGCGCTACTAGTTCACACACAATTATATACACTCGACGAATAAGGGGGACATACCACACAACACTCTTGTAGACAAGCATGAGAACCAACGCTGTTTAGTTTCGAACTCATCATTTCCCCATCCCCAACCTCGATTTGTTAATGGACACACAGATTATGCCCCATGATTTACACACAATTATGTTGAAATTTCTTATATTTTTTTTCCTTTGGCTACAAATGTATGATGTGCTGGCGCTTTGTTTGGCATTATAATTTACTTATGAAACCTGCAAATGCGTAATTAAATAATTGTTAACTAGAAATTAACCAAAACAGAACCATGTGTTGTATTTATTTGTATTATTTTATATGATTTTATTGCAAATTCGTTGGAGCTTAGCAGAGGCAAGAACCACACACCCACACACACGTACACAACATAGCACAGGCAACAACCACCACTACAACCGAACGAGCAAAGTAAAAAAAATAATGCAAAACTAAAAAAATTGTAAGGAAAACTCACATATTTTTCTGTCGGATGGATTATTTATGTGTATTGAAATCTCTCAACACGTGTAAACGGAAACCAAGCAGAAAATATAAGAAAAAAAATAGTATAATGTGAAATTTGCATACACACCATACTACACACCCACACAAACACACTCTGCACACCTAATAGATACACAGAAAAAAATATCTTGAACTTGGAATGCTTCCCCATAAAAATGGTATTTTTCACCCTATTCCGTTGTTTAAAATATATAAATATATTTTAAAATTTCGAATCGTTTGTTTTTAAATTAAGATTTATCTATTTTATGAGAGCATTTCTTATTAACCCGAAATATATTTTAAAATATTAATTATATTTTTAACATAGAACCAATTTGAAATAGCTAAGACATGATGACCAGAGACGTTACTTCCCAGATAATTTAAGATCTTTGATAATGGAAAACATTAATTAGAGGTGCTCTTTTCCCTCTGTGTACTTAGGCAATGTATTATTCATTGCTCACGAGCAAAATAAATCGGTGTGTGTTTGGACATGGATTTTTCACACCCCACCCTACAAAAAGGACCTCTATTTTCGCCTATTTGCTTCTTCCCCTATTTTTTTGTCAAATACTTTTTGCTTTTTTCCTGGATTTTTGCTATCCAACAAGAACATTTTGAAACAACAAAAAAATACAACAATTGAAAATACAACAAAATACAACAATTGCAACCACAACAAATTACAAATTACAAGCAAATCGAATATTATGTGTGTATGTGTATATGTATTGTCCATCCACAGCAGCAAAGTATGCAACAAAAATTTTTGTAGAAACTGCAAGCAGTAATAAAACAAATAAAAAAGCCAAAAAAAGCGAGGAAAGCGAAGAAAGCAATCGCAAAGAAACCAAAAAATTCCAAGAATAAGAACAAACCAAGGAAAATATGAATAATTATCATCTTGTCGTTTATATAAATGTGTGCTATGTGTTTTCTTCGAATCGGATTTATGTTATGCAAAACAAAACAAAAATCGAAAAACAGTAAGGATTAAAAGGATAAAATTCAATGGAATAAGAGAGAGAACAGTAAGAAACATGGAAACCAAAAAAAATAAATATATATATTCATGCAAGAAATACAAAATAAAGTAAACATTGGTGTAAATTAAGCAAGAACTTAAGTAAAACCTACTAAAAACAAAAAAAATGAAGCTTAATACGTAATTTCCTAACAACAACAACAGAAGACATTTACATATGCAGCACTCACATACACACACAAACCACACACACACTTCCAAGCAACACGTACGTACATTTACCGTTACTTTTCACACGCAGACACACACACACACACATACAGCACCTCTTTCTCTCTTTGGCTATTGCGTTTTAGATTATTGCTCAGCACGTTTTTCGTAGACCACTTTTTATGCTAACGGTAAGATACGACCTCCTCTCTCTCACCCACACACCCCCACACCCCTCCCACGCACACACACACACATACACTCACAAAAACAAAAACAAGAAGACGAGAAAAACGTGAATTTTTTTCTTAAAAATCGGAATGGCGTATTTCTAACGGGAAAGCAAACACAAGAAACACACACGAGGACTTCTAATAAGTGTTTATATATACAAATATATATATATATGTATACATATAAAAAGAAAAAAAAACAAAGGATAAAAGAGCATAATTTTTTGTCATAATGCAAAATATTTGTGTGAGAAACCAATTTTTGATGTAACAGAAAAACAGAAAACCAGAAAAACGCGCGAAAAATTAATATGTATAACGGTAAAAGAGCAAACGAGAAAAGAAAGTGAAAATTAACATTTTTTCCCTCAGTTCTTCAATCAATCAATTGTCCATTTTCTCATTTTCCGTTAGTAACTTTTAAAACTCAAATCTTTTAGCTGCCATTTCTAACTTAAAAAATACAAAAGAAAAAACAAAAACAACCGAGAAACCAACAAAAACTAGTTTAACAACTTAGTTCGTAAACCTCTTATTTCGTTAAATTCTACTTTGTCTATTTCTATTTAACAGGTTTTTTTGTGCAAAAAACAAACATTACTTAAGTTTTTGTAAGAGATTAGTAAATTATGGAAGTTGAGGGCGATACAACGCAACTGCGATCGCGAATGCGGATTTATGGAGGCAATTTCAAGTAACAATACGAGTAAGAAAAGAGAAAGCAAGCAAAAACCAAATGAGATCTTCAATGTGAAATAAAAGTACTTCTTTGAAACTAGGGGTGCGTATAATTTGGCCTTTTTCTGGGCGGTTCTTGGTTTGACATGTGGATGAGTAAGTATTTAGTTTTAAAAACATGGAATATCGTGAGAAATACGACTACTTCCATCTAAAAAGTGTGTCTCAACTTGTTCAATACAAAAAACAATCATAATAACACTGACCCTTCGTTCAAAGCGAAATTTCAGCTAGTCGAGCTGAGGCCAACATTCCTTCAGTTTCTAATCGGCTTTCGTACTATAAAGACATACTTTCGTTAGAGTAAAAAATAAAATTTTCGGTTTTCAAAAATTTTGAAGCCTTTTTTTCCAGTCAGTTTTCTACTTCACACAAGTAATTCTATATAAAAAACTAGATAAAACTTCATTAAATTACTTATTTTAACATTACCACACAATTTCAACAACACAATAGCTTTGTTTTTCCATCTACATTTTTTATTTACTTGTTATAACAACTTTTTTTAATAGCTACCATGAACTCTTCGGAAACTATAGATGAGAAATCAAAATTTATAGCCCTATTTGAGGCATTTGAAAAAGAAATCTTGGTAAGATAATAATAATAATAATAATAATAATAATAATAATAATAACGTCTGGTTCTCCAGTCTGGTTCTCCAGAAAATAGGCATGCTACTCGCACAAGGAAGGTGGTAAAGAGTGCTAAGCTTCAAAAGATGACCGCCAGACCAAGTCCGGGGGCCTCCAGATACAAGCAAAGCATTGCCCATCTGAAGGCAAGCTCTCTTTCAAAGAAGAGGTGTTTACAGAACAAGGCAAAATATGAACCGCAGCAAGCCGAAAACGTGTGGGCCAATACCTCGTGGTTCCAGGGGGCCCAATCCCAGGAAGCGGTTCCCCCAACCGAAGATGCGAAGACCCTCCAGTGGGCTTTTAACCAACCCGCGGTACCCCAAACGCAGCACTCGTGGTTCCAAGGGGCCCAAACTCAAGGCGCAGCTCCCCAACACTCGTTATTCCATGTGGCCCATAATCAACCCCGAACCGAAGACTCATCGTTCCAAGAGGCCCCTTGCCAACCCGCGGTACCCCAAACGCAACAGTCGTGGTTCCAGGGGGCCCAATCCCAGGAAGCGGTTCCCCCAACCGAAGATGCGAAGACCCTCCAGTGGGCTTTTAACCAACCCGCGGTACCCCAAACGCAGCACTCGTGGTTCCAAGGGGCCCAAACTCAAGGCGCAGCTCCCCAACACTCGTTATTCCATGTGGCCCATAATCAACCCCGAACCGAAGACTCATCGTTCCAAGAGGCCCCTTGCCAACCCGCGGTACCCCAAACGCAACAGTCGTGGTTCCAGGGGGCCCAATCCCAGGAAGCGGTTCCCCCAACCGAAGATGCGAAGACCCTCCAGTGGGCTTTTAACCAACCCGCGGTACCCCAAACGCAGCACTCGTGGTTCCAAGGGGCCCAAACTCAAGGCGCAGCTCCTCAACACTCGTTATTCCATGTGGCCCATAATCAACCCCGAACCGAAGACTCATCGTTCCAAGAGGCCCCTTGCCAACCCGTGGTACCCCAAACGCAACACTCGTGGTTCCAAGGAGTCCAAACCCAAGCCGCGGTACCCCCAACCCAAGAATCGGTACCGCAAACCCATAATCAACCCGAGGGTCCCCGAACCCTAGATTCGTGGTTCCAAGTGGCCCAAACCCAAGAGGCGGTACCCCAAGCGCAAGTCCCGTTGTTCCAAGGGGCCCATTCCCAAGGCGCGGCTCCCACAGCCCAAAACTCGTTGTTCCAAATGGCCCATAACCAACCTGAGGGTTCCCGAACCCTAGACTCGTTGTTCCAAAGGTTGACCCTGAACGAGTAACTCCAAGGGGCCAAGTACCAACCAGACGTGTCCGAAGCCCAAGATGCGTGGTTCAATCCAAGTGGTCAAAGCCCAATCCAAAGGGTCGTATGAATACAATGTCACGGTTTATTAAATAATATTATTTTTGAGCAAAAAAAGCTGTATATTGGTCGGAAAATTGCGGAATGAGGTCGGAATATGGAATGTGATACATAGTTGAGCTCGTTGTTAAATTTCGAATCGATTGGCATTTAAATCAAAAAACATAATTTTTTTTAAATTTTTCGAAAAAAAGATGATGCAACCCCTTATAAAAAATCCGCAAATTTCTCAAAAAATAAATTTCCCGAAAAGTGATAGGGATCGTTAGCAAGCTGCTCAAAACTGTCGGTCTTTTTGTTGTGCGCCTCGATTTGACTAAATTACGACTTAAAAACGGCTTAAAATAAACGTATTTTTCGACCAAAAAATGTTATTACCTATTTTTGCCGAAAAAAACATCGTCAAATTGCGAAATGGAGCCAGAATAAGGAATGTCATACCTCGTTGAGCTCGTAATAAAAATCCCAATCGATTGGCGTTCAAACCTAAAAACTTTATTTTTTGACGATTTTTCTCAAAAAAAAAAAATGATGATGCATGATGTAAAAAATGTGAAAATTATTCCACATCATTTGACTCGCTACAAACGACATTTTTATTTCATTAAAGTTTGAAAATATAACAAGCAAATTTGTTATATTTAAATTTTAATTACCGCTATTATCGTTGATTTTTTATTATCGAAACCGATAACATGTCGATAAGCTGTTGGGAGGTGTCAAGTTACGGTATATTCTCGGTATTCAAAATACGCTCTCAAAACGTTGGGAGTATGTCTAGGCTAGATTAGCAAGGACACACACCCACCAATCGAGATTCCGTATTTGTCAGTATATTTGAGTGAATAAATCTGGTATTTAAAGTATATTTCCAAGACCCGGAAGGTATTTTTGAAAACATCGATGTTACCGATGCTTTGAAAACATCGATGACGTCGATGTTTCTCCACCTCTAATAGTTGTGCAATATAGTAGTTGATAAACTAATCTCGCTACCTTTTTTCTGCGATTGTTTAACTTACAACGACGCGCGGCGGTGAGACGGAGACAGCCGACACATAGCGTGCGATCATATAGAGCCGGACAATCCGCATATAGAAGCCCCCATTCACATCCGATTTCAGTCAGTCGAACGAGATAAACACAGCGAAAATGTTGCGTACTCTGTCGCGCGTTAGCGAACTGCCCATTATTGTTAAGCAACTGCAGAAAGTACGTAATCCCCCAGCCCGCTTTGCACCCCACTAACATTTCTAATTGTTATCAATGAAAATAAATTTAAAAAAAACACAAAACCCCATTCGAAAATGAAAACACTAAAAGCGTTGCCATAACAACAACAACAACAACGGATGGCGGAACAACAACATCATCATCGGAAATGGGAGATATTCATCGTCGTTTTTCGGTTTATTCCAGAATGCAGCCCAGGCAGGTGTTTCGAAAACCAATAACTATGCCACGGAGGCCACCATTCAAGTGAATCGGGTATGTACCATGCTAAATTATGGGAACTATAGGAATTATAGCAACCCTGATGAAAAAAAATTGGGTTACATAATGCGCTTTCTGGCAGATAGCAACGGTTAATAGGGGGGACTCATCCGTATCCGTAAGTGTGTGTGGAGATGCAGGGTTGCATTCGCGTGTTTTTTTTTAATTTTGCCGGTCAACCTGATCATTTTACAACGACAAGGTCACGAAGTAATTTGTAATTTTCCGTCTCCCACGCTCTTTATCGCCGTCTGCTCTTTGCGTGGCCGCCGCGTGACTGTTCACGCACTATAAAACATATAGTCTTATCAGCGATCCCCCGATTCTCGCCCGACTCTCTGTTTACGTCGATTCTCACGCCATAAATTAGCCGCCATAAAATTCCATCAAGCTAGATTGGCAAGAAATCTAAGCCTGGGTAATTGAGGCATACTTCCGAAAAACCCTGACTTTTCGAAAAGTTCAATTCTGGCTATGAAGACATGATGGAAAACTTATGATCTTGTAAACTATTTTTCGAAATATAAGTACTTTGAAGAAGAATACTTAAAATTTTTTATTTTTAATTGATGGTGTATGGTTTATTTTTACTAAATTAGCTTAATTTCAAGGCTTTTCATTTCATAATAGAATATAAATTTCGTGAAGATTAGGCAAAATTGGTCAGAAATCGAAGTCTTGGTAATTGGGGCATACTTACTTTCGAAAACCCTTGACCTCTCGAAAGTTCAATTGGCTATGAAAATATGATAGAAAACTTATGATCTTGTGAAGTATTTTTCGAAATTCCAGTAATTTCATTTTTAGGATAAAAAACTTAAAATTTATAATATTTAATTGATATATGGTCTGTTTTAACTACATTAGGTAAATTCCAAAACTTTTTTTTCAAAATAGAATAAAAATTGGGTAATGAACAGATCGGTCTGAACTGTTATCATTTCATTACCAATCTATGCATATCATCACACATTTCCATTATCTTTTTATCAACCTTCTGACAGCTGTTAATTGAAGTACACACTTTTGGAAATACTGATATTATTGTATTAGCAGATTCCAAATATAATAACCAATTTTAATTGGTTTAAAGAGCCCTAAAAAATATTATTATAATATAAATAAATGTACCCCAAACATGGAATGTAATAAAAACCCTAATGCTCTCCCACTTTGCAGCCCTTCAAGCTGCACCGCCTGGACGAAGGACCCGCCACGGAAGTCAAACTGACCAAGGACCAGGCCCTCAAGTACTACACACAGATGCAGACGATCCGTCGTCTGGAGACGGCCGCCGGCAATCTCTACAAGGAGAAGATCATCCGCGGCTTCTGCCATCTGTACTCCGGCCAGGAGGCCTGCGCCGTGGGCATGAAGGCCGCCATGCGGGATGTGGATAACATCATTTCGGCGTACCGTGTCCATGGATGGACCTACCTGATGGGCGTCCCACCGAGCGGAGTTCTGGCAGAGCTCACGGGTGTCCAGGGCGGCTGTGCCCGCGGCAAGGGTGGCTCCATGCACATGTATGCCCCCAACTTCTACGGCGGCAATGGCATCGTGGGTGCCCAGGTTCCCTTGGGCGCTGGCGTTGGACTGGCCTGCAAGTACAAGGGCAACGGTGGCATGTGCCTGGCGCTCTACGGCGATGGTGCCGCCAACCAGGGACAGGTGTTCGAGGCCTACAACATGGCCTACCTGTGGAAACTGCCCGTGATCTTCGTCTGCGAGAACAACAACTACGGTGAGTGGGATATGAAAGGGTTATCAAAAAACTGATATTTACCTATATTAACTTGTAATCCTCAATAGGAATGGGCACCAGCTCCGAGCGTGCGTCCTGCAACACGGACTACTACACTCGTGGCGACGCCCTGCCCGGCATCTGGGTGGACGGCATGGATGTGCTGGCCGTGCGCAGTGCCACCGAGTTCGCCATCAACTATGTGAACACCCACGGACCTCTGGTTCTCGAAACGAACACCTACCGGTACTCCGGCCACTCCATGTCCGATCCGGGCACATCTTACCGCACGCGCGAGGAAATCCAGGAAGTGCGCCAGAAGCGCGATCCCATCACCTCCTTCAAGGAGCTGTGCATCGAGCTGGGTCTGATCACCACCGATGAGGTTAAGGTGAGTTGGATAGGGGTTCGAAAAGCGGTGAAACGTTCTTTAATTTATATTATATATTTATAGGCCATCGATCTGAAGGTGCGCAAGGAGGTCGACGAGGCCACCGCCTTTGCCAAATCCGACGCCGAGCTGGCCGTGAGCCATCTCTGGACGGACGTCTACTCCAACAACCTGGAACCCAAGCTGCGCGGCACCATCGCCTACGACATCGATCACATTCAGGAGCGCAAGGGCGTCAATCACTAAGTCAATCGGGCCAACGAATCTGATTCGGGAACTCACAAGACACAAAATCGAAAAGAAAACAACAAGAAAAATAGGACAACACCAAACCAATCACAGACAGACACGAAGACATAACTCAGACACTTAGACACAAGCGAAATCTCTAGCTCTTAAGCCGAATGTTGAATGATGAGAACCCCGTAGACCGGACCCGAGGAGAACCACAAGAAGCTTAGCTAATCGGAGCACTGCAATCACATCGTAGCGCACCACATTACTCTGGGGAACTGCATTGGATATTATATTGCGAACGTGTTCAATATGGATAAAGCGAGGTGTAAATTGTTGAAAATATACATACCTAGAAAAATTTAACCAATGTAGTTGTAATTTTCTAACTAAAAGTAACTGAAACGCCGAGCGAGGTGCTCCTAAGATCTTGAAGATTTTAGATAATGGCAAATACTAACTACCAATTTTAAAATTGTACGTTTTCTTCTTAGAACTTGGGACTTTATATAGTATTAGTTTGAAAACTTTTAAACTGTAGCAGTATTTTAGTTTTCTTGTATTGTAAGTAATTGTATTTAATAACACAAATCGGATAATTGAGGAACTCTTCTTAATTTTAGATTAACTTTGAGTTTCTTAGGAAACTCTTTGTTTCCATCTCTTTCTGTTTTGTGACACTTGCCATTTAAGTCGATTTTCATTGCTTTCATTGTCGTTTGTTTATTTAGCTTAGCTCACATTAGTTCCAGTTATTTTCCAAAAAATTCCAAAATTTAAGTGCGCGGCCTCTGACTAGAAGCTCACTTTGGAGTCCAGGTGCTCAGGAATCATATTGAAGGACCATGATGAAGCCAAACCGAGTCCGTGTGATAGTCAGATGCAGCGCAGCCCGTTCCCTTCTTGGTGGAGACTTCGTACTCAGGATCATCGGCCGGCACAAGTGTAGCTGCCTGACCCTCGAGAATGTGAGTTTCACGAAGTATTTCAAAGATAAACCAATGCGATCATGTAAATTCTTAGTTTACACAGCTAAAAGTAACTCTTACTGTTACAATTGGAATTTTAATTTTAAAATATTTATATTTTAAAATATTAAAAAGGCCTGGTTACTAGTTATTTGGTTGTTTATATATATTTCTTTAATGTTTAAATATTTCTATCTACATTTTGCTCTTTAAAAAGTATATCAAA